GCTCTTCATACCGTCTTTTCTTGCATCTCGGCCGACCCGACGGAGACAGCTTCGTCGGGAATGAACCTTCCCCAGAACCAGTGAGCCTTCCAAACTCTATTCATCTCTTCAATTGGCATGTTTTTCGTCTCGGGTAAGAGGAAGTACATGAAGATCGTCATGATGAGGACGAAGACCGCGAAGAAGAAGAATAACCCGAATTTCAAATGGCAAAGCATTGTGAGGAAGAGTTGAGCCACGAGGAAAGTGAAGAACATGTTCACAGCCACATTGATGGCTTGAGCAGCTGATCGGATCTCTAGAGGACTGATCTCGCTCGGAACTAGCCACCCGAGGGGTCCCCACGACCAGGCGAAACCCGCAACGTATATGCATATCAATGCCACTATCAAATTAGCATCCGTTTTCCCGATGTTTCCCGTTCCCGTGACTCCAAACTTCACACCGATAAGTGCTCCAATCGCGATCTGTACATGACATTTCAAGAGATGTTAGAATCTAGTTCCATTAGACCAAGAACATTTAAAGGGTGTTTTCGGATATGTTACCTGAGTGATAAGCATCTGGATACCACCTTGAAGGAACAACACTCTCCTTCCATACCTATCCACCGTGAAGACAGAGACAAAGGTGCACAAGAGCTCGATAATTCCCGTGACCATGGCAGAGAAAAGAGCAGCTTTGTTACCGAACCCGAGCGTCTGAAACAGGACGGGGGCGTAGAACGTGATAACGTTGATCCCGGTTAGTTGTTGGAAGAAGGGAATGAAGAAAGTGATGATGAGTTGAGGTCGGTATCGAGGAAGCATGATGTTCTTCCATGGATGCTTCACTTGTTTAGCGACCTCGCTCGCGTAGATAAGGTCTTGGAATTCCTCCTCGACGTGCTCGGTTCCACGGATCTGCCGCAGCATTTCTCTCGCCTTCTCGGTGTGACCTCTCTCGATGAGCGAGTTCGGAGTGTCGGGAAGAATGAGAGCTCCGACCATGATCATGATCGCGGGCACGCAAGCGAGTCCGAGAGAGATCCTCCATCCGTATCCTCCTTTGATTTGAGCCGTGAAGTAATTGATGATCGTTGCAACGACGATTCCGAAGATAATCGCAACTTGGAATCCGATGTTGAAAGCTCCTCTAAGATTCGGCGGAGCCATTTCAGATAGATAAACCGGTACAGACTGTGAACGCACAAACACATGTTAGCTTTTCGTCCTTTTCGGCGGAACCAAACAATTATCGAACCGAATACCAACCTGAATTTTATGATTTTGAAAAACCCAAAATTTCTTTTAAAAATCTATTTTTTTCTTAATGAAAACCAAAACCGAACCGAAACCAAACCGAAAACCGAAACGTCTACCACTAGTTTTTTATGTTTCGTTACCTGATTAGCGAATCCGATGCCGAAACCGAGGAGTATACGGCCGATCAGAAGCATAGCGACGTTCTTAGCGAAGCCATTGAAGGCGGAGCCGAGCAAGAAGATGAGTCCTCCGAGGAACATGGACCATTTTCGGCCGAAAACCCTAGTCACCGTCGAGGCGAAGAACGAGGAGACCAGAGCGGCGAGGTATAGAGACGAAGTGAAGAGC